TCAGTACTGTTGTTCTTCAATTATTTTGCGAATATGTCTGATGATAAGTTCCACAATTCAATTAACATTAAGTTGGATGGGTCCAACTATTCATATTGGCCATATGTTATGAAGAATATTGTAGTAGGCAAGGGCATGTCGGGCTATGTTAGTGGTGTTACAAGATGACCTAATGAAATTAAAGAAACAGAGGGCGTAGTTGCCAAATAGGATAAAGAGAATGCTCAGATTCTCACTTGGTTTCATACTGTTGTGGAATTCACCATTGGTCAGAATTTTTCTAAATATGACAGAGTGTAGAAAGTTTGGGATTATTTGAAGACTATGTATCTGGAATCCAATTCTGCCAGAGAGAGAGATAAGTTAGTTTAAGAATTCTATAACATGATGACATCTTAGTGCTATCAATTGACCCTCATGGAACTTTCGAAGCTCCAAGCACTTGACAGCTATGTGAGCTATTGGGAGAAACAATGGCTTGTCCAGTTTCTTATGGCTCTTCGGGGATCAGTTTGAGCCTCTTAGGTGGGATATTTTGCATCGTTCTTCTTTGCCTTCTGTTGATGGAGTTGTTTGAGAGCTTATTGTAGAAGAAACACGGTTTAAGGTCTCACATGTTTCCTCCCCTTCTTAGTTTGTCTTTTCTACATCTCTCTTGCCAACTCCTGCTGCTTCTCATTTGATTCAAGTTACTGGGAAACCTCAGCCTAGGGTTTCCATGAATGAGTGTAGTTTTTTCCATTAGAAGAGTCACTGGAAGCATGCTTGTCTTAAGCTTTTGCAGCCCAAAAGTCATTGCCCTCCTTATGCATCATCCTCATCTCATCAGCAACCACCTCGTTATGCTACTCCCGCTGCCCATGCTAATCCTGTGTCTGATCCTATGTAGTCTATGTTTGAGTAGTTCAAGTATTTCATGGTGGCCAATCCGAATCTCTCATCTCAAGCCTCTGTTATGACTACCATTCAGTCAGGTTTGCCTAATTCATCCTCCTCAAGTAGTGTATCCACTTCGTGGATTTTTTATTTTGGTTGTTCGCATCATATGACTCCTATTGCATCTCTTCTTAGTAATTGTGTCTCTCCCTCTTCTCCTATCAATATTGCCATAGCTAATGGTTCTTCTATGAGTGTTCAATCTATTGGTTTCATTTCCTCTCCTCATTTATCTATTTCTCATCTCTTTTATGTGCCTCATCTCTCTATCAGTCTTATCTCTATTAGTTAATTATCTGATTTTGATTTTGATGTAGTTTTCTCTTCTTCTCATTATGTTGTGCAGGATGAGTATCCAAGAGGCAGATTGGGATCGGCGTAGAGTTGGCGAACTATATATTTTGGAAAGCTAGCATGTTCCTTTAGATGTGTCTTCTATTGCTTTACCTTCTTTTTGATTTAGGTCATTTGTTGAGTGACCGTTTGAAGTTGTCTTCTATTTTTGATATTTCTGAGTGTAGTGGTTGTAAATTGGCTAAAATGTTCTCTCTTCCTTTTAATAAAAGTAATTTTATTTCTTCTCCTCTTTTTCACTTGGTTCACACTGATGTTTAGGGACCTTCCCTTATCATTACAAAAGGGGGTTCCACATATTATGCGTCTTTTATTGATGATTACAGTAGGTTTATATGGGTATATTTGATGACATGCAAATATGATTTTTACAAAATATATTCCAACTTTTACTCAATGATTCACACTCAATTTTCAATCACCATTAAAATTCTTCGTTCTGATTTGGAAGGGTGAGTATTATTTGTCTGAGTTTACTGAGTTTCTAGCTGCTAATGGTAACCATTCATCAGTCCTCATGTTTTGACATTGTCGCGCAAAATGGTTGCGCTGAATGCAAACATTAACATCTTCTTGATACAACTCGCTCTTTGTTGCGTTCGTCTTCTATCCCTTTTATGTTTTGGGGAAAAGCTGTGCTCATTGCTGCATATTTTCTTAATCAGATGCTTACTCCTCTTCTCTCAGGTTCATCTTCGTATGAGCATTTTCTTGGTACTATTCCCAATTACTCCATTCTTTGTGTTTTCGGTTGTGCATGTTTTGTTCTCCTTTCCAAACGGGATTGCTCTAAGCTTAGTTCTCGTTGTGTCCTATGCATGTTTTTAGGGTATGACATTAATTAGAAAGGTTATCGGTGTGATCCTGTCACCAAAAAGCTTTGTGTGTCTAGGCATGTCACATTTTTAGAAAAACTACTCTATTACACTCTCCCTACTCCACCTGTCCCCATTGCCAAGAATGAATTGGTTCATATTGATCCATTTTCTTTTGATGTTCTTCCCGATGAGTTTGTTTTTGATCTTAAGGTATCTACTTTGTCTCCTACTAGCCCACCTGATTCCTCCCCAGCTCCTATTGCCCTTGCTCATCTTCTTGTTTATAAGCGTCACAAACCCCTTCCAAGCCCTCATGCTACTAGTTCTACCGCTTTTCCTACTAGCTCTATAGATCTCGCTCCTCCTGCACATCGCTGTCCAAAGTGAGATCGACATCCACCAGACAAATTTGGTTTTGGTAATACATGTTTCTCTCCTTCCTATCAGTCTTTTTTTTCTTGTCTTCATAGAACCCAGGTCCTACAAGGAAGCCTGTCATGATCCGAATTGGATTTTTGCCATGAATGATGAGTTAATTGCTTTGGCTAAGACTCAAACTTGGGATTTGGTTCCGTTATTTGTTGGCAAGAATATTGTGGGATGTAAATGGGTCTATAAGGTCAAAACTCTTTTTGATGGTTCTTTGGAAAGGTACAAAGCTCGTTTGGTTGCCCAGGAATTTTCTCAAGAATACGTGATTGATTACTACAAGACTTTTGCTTCCATTGCCAAGATGACTACTGTTTGCACTCATATCTCTGTTGCTGTAGCGCATTAATGGCCTTTGTTTCAGTTAGATGTTAAGAATGTTTTTCTTAATGGGCATATTACTGAAGAAGTGTATATGCGTCCTCCACCTAGTCTCTCTCACCTTCCCGATGTAGTTTGTCAACTTCGTCGTGTTCTCTATAGTCTCAAGCAGTCTCCTCATGCTTGGTATGAGCGCTTTCATTGCCTATAGTGGCCTGGTTAAAATCGACCCTTTTATACCCTTTGGTTTTGAATCATGTATCTTCTAGTGGTGGTGTTGTTTGTTTTAGTCTTACGTTATTGTTTGGGAGTTGAGAATTGGTTTGTTGGTTATGTTCTGATCAGGTTGGGCTTAGAATTCTAAGGAGAGTTGGCTGTTTATTCTTGGGTTTGCTGGAGTGGTCCTTTGTTTCTCCCAGAATCTATGTTTGCAAGCTGAATTTTTGGGAGTGGGCCATTCTTCACTCGAGCAGTGAAGTATGAGTGGGTCATACTTCAAGCAGGCCCATCAAAGCTCCTAATCCGATAACATCAAAGAAAATAGGAAACTGATACTTGCAATGAAAAAAATTTATCTGAACAATTTATCTACCATTTATTATAGTAAAAACAAAACTAGAATCGCAATTTCTACAGCTTCTAGCTGAAAAATTGTTATGTGACAATCAAAGAGTAATTTAACCAGTTCTCTCACCCAGTAATAACAATCAAAGCCTTATTTTTGTGTATAGCAACAGTAAAACTTAGCAAAATCACACACACAATTACGTATAATTTCTCCAAATAAGCAAAATTGAAAAAGGAAATAGACTCCTCAGTAATGAGGTTGCACATGTTTGACTTTTCATGTTGATAATAGGGTGAGTTATACTGACAGTCCCTGTAATTTGGGACTTGTATCATTTTAGCCATTGAATTTTTTATTGTGATACATTTGATCCTGAATTTTGAATTTTGTTTCAAATAAAGACAATTGAAGATATCATTGCTCAATTTCAAGGGCAAAGTCGTCAATTTGATAAAATATAAACTAATTTGACAAAAATAAATGTCAAAAAAATATTTTTAAATTTTTAAAAATAATTTCTACCCACCAAATTGATAAATCTATTAGACATTTATTTATTTATAATTTTTACCAAATTAATTTTTATTACATGATCATCATCCAAACACATAATAATGTATAAAAAATTTATCAATTTTACATAATTTTATCTTTAGTGAGTAGAAATAATTTTTAAAAATTAAAAAATATTTTTTTGATATTTATTTTTGTCAAAATAGTTTATATTTTATCAAATTGACAACTTTGCCCTTGAAATTGAGAAATAAAAAATAATTTGGTAAAATAAATAAATAAATGTTTAAAAGATTTATCAATTTTACATAATTTTATCTTTAGTGGGTAGAAATAATTTTTAAAAATTTAAAAATATTTTTTTGACATTTTTTTTTGTCAAATTAATTTATATTTTATCAAATTGATGACTTTATCTTTAAAATTAAGCAATGATATCTTTAATTATCCTTATTTGGAACAAGATTTAAAATTTAGGATTAAATGTGTTACAATTGAAAACTCAGGGACCAAAATGACACATGCCCAAACTATAGGAATCGTTAGTGTAATTCGCCCTTCATAATATAATCAGTTAAACATTTTCAAAAAATAAATTGAAAATAAATCCAACAAATAGGGTAAATCGCTTTACCAATGATTTTCTATACGGGTAGAGTGGGATTTGTAAATAGACAGACTCATATATGCACAAGGCCAAAAGGAATGCATTAAGACTACCACCCCCTCACTTAAGCATTTCACACTAAGGCTATGTTTGTTTGGGCGGACTGGATTAGTATTTCCATAACTAATAGTCCTAAGACTACGAATCCGTTGGATTATGTATCCTATCTTAACTAATAGTCAAGTTTAAAATAATTAGTCCGTACCTCAATTGTTTAACCAAATATCGGATTAATAATTTTATTGGACTATTAGTCCAATCCCAAGCTCATGTCCACCCAAACAAACATGGCCTAATAGGACAAAAGCAGCAGCAAAAAAATGAAAAGAAGTTGGGAAGTGCTTCCTACTGAACTATACAAACTACAAAGTAGTACAGGTAGAAAGCTTGTTACCTTTCCATCATCTGTTACACAATGGCAAAATTTGTGCTTTGGATTTTCAGGATCTCTCCAACATAAAATATCTTCAGATTGATTAGTACCCAAGAAATGATAGTAAACCTCCTGGTTCAAGTTAGCACTGGTCTCAGTCCCAGCATCCAAATTTTCACTCTCCCTACAAACAAAGACAAAAAAATTTACCATCATTACCATGATATAGATTCACAATTCCCCCAATATTATTTATTTTGTGAATTCTATCTTCAAAGGCAGAATTTTCCAGATCTACTGCCGTTGTCATTAATTTTTGTTAGCCAATTTGGACAATGTTATTCCTTTATCCTTTCCTCATAAACTCTTTTTCACGGGTCAGAATTGCTACAACTACATGTGATAATTTGGAAAATCAATTCAAAGTAGTATTCTGAATATCATTGATCACTGTTAAAACAACATACACTTTGCCAGCTCCCCCCCCCCCCCCCCCTTTTTCCCCAAACATTTGAAAATTAAAATTTTCAAAATATCACCAAAAAAGGAAAAAAAAAGAGTAAATATTACAAGCCATGGCTGCTGTTTTACTTACTTGGGAGCTGGGTATCGGCTATAGAAAAAACCTTTGCTATCATGGGTCCAACTAGCACATGAAAACTTAACCTGCAACAAAATGGACAAAAATAAAAACACACCGTTTACCAAATAAGATATGCATATATATAGAGAGAAAAAAAAAGATTTTTTTTTTTCAAACTATGCAATATATTTGCTATCGATGGTCTTTTTCAATTCATATTAAAAGGCTAACGAATGTTTTAGTACTCACCCATGACACAATATCAGGCTCGATTGTCTTATTTTCAATTTGCATAACTTTGATAGTGATCCAATCACTTCCACTTGAGCTAAGTCCATATGCCAAGTACTTAGCATCTTGGCTAACAGCACAAATTCTCATTGAAACCGTTCCATCCTTGCTAAGTCCATTCGGATCAAACAAAACCTCTGGTTCTCCATCCAAACTATCCTAAAATGCAATTCAAGAAAGCAAAGAAAAGAAACAGGAATCAATGAATCTGTAAACCAAATTTTAGGCCTCTTATGAAATAAAATCTCACAATATTGTCCACACAGTTGTCAAAATAATGAATACTACTCAATTCAAATAAAATGAAGAGTGAAGATAAGATTGAAGTGATAAAAGATATGACACTTTATTGTCCAAGATCGAAATAAATTTCGTAAGTTGTAGCATATATCTTCTACATCAAATATTCAGGTTAAAATTAGAAAGTTGTAACTAGAGAGTAACATAACAGAATTTTCAATTTCTATTTTTCGCTAGTCCCATCACCAATATAGAAGAAGGATTAAAAAACAAAAGAAAGATATATTTTTTTTCCTTATAAAAAAAACATATAATCATCACATAGCAAACTCTCAGCTAAATATGTTTCTGAACATTAATAACTATATAATGGGCAAACTACATTTTGCACTTCTGCGCACTTTACACTAAATTCTATTTTGATCCCTACACATGAAATCATGACAATTAATCTCCTCACTTATGGTCAAATTTCACTTTGGTCCCTCCACATGAAATCGTAACAGTTAACCCTTTGTACTTATGGTCAAATATCACTTTGATCCCTACATAAGTGTCAATGTCCCATTTCTGTTACTCTATTGTTTAAATCTTTAACAGAAAATATGACCACGAAATGAGGATAAGAAAGAAAAATTATTTCCATTTTCCACCAAGACACTCTTTATCCTATGTGATAAGCACGTGAGAGTTACATAATACAATATACGTGTGTGTGTGCGTGTGTTGAAAATTGGAACAAAGATGCAAGAAAATAGATTTTTTGAAATGAAAAAATGTAGCAGAGAAAGGAAGAGGAATAGACAGAATGTGTAACTGTGGAAAATTGAGTTTTGTGATTCCAATTTATGCAAAACTCTAATTCATCTCTTTAATTGTTCACAATCTGCATTTTGTTTTAATCTACTACAGTTTGAAATTGATGTAAATTTTGGGACAAAAATGTGTATAAGCAAAAAATGATGGTGGTTTTTCTTTGTTACCTTCATTTCGTAGTCATATGCTTGTCACATTACTAATTTATGTTAAAGAATCGTACAACGGAGTAACAAAAAGGAAACATTGTCACTTGACCAGAAATGTAAGGAGTTGACTGTCACGATTTCATGTGTAGGGGCTAAAATGAGATTTGGTGCAAAATACAGGGGTGCAAAGTGTAATTTACCCAAGAGTGTTGCCATTTTCACCTTACTTATTATTTTGGACCCCCCATTTTTTGATTTTTTATTACAATAATAATCTTAAATGAAATTACTAAAGAGGACATCAATCATTTTGGGACACTGCATCTCAATATTAAACCCATACATCTACTAAATCGTAAGGTAGGATTTATGAGAGTACCCATCTCCATCACCTCCATGCATTACAAAACTCTCAAAACCTATCTACCCTCAAAACCTTGAGAACCTTTCGGTGGCGATATTTCGACGGCAACGGTGACAATGTTAGTAACCATTCAATTATACATACTTCTTTAGCAATGACAATGAGTGAAATTTTTTTCGACAGTCACAATTCCATGAGACAGGTCACTACGCCAAAATTGGGTTTTAGCGGCGGTTTTTTACCGCCGTTAAAGAATGTAAAATCGCTGTTAAAACCTTTAACGGCGGTAATTTAGGACCGCCGTTTATACTCGTGTCGGAAAAGGTACAACCGTCGTAAAAGGGTAAATTACCGTTGTTAAAAGTCGACCAAAAACGGCAGTAATATTGAACCAAAAACGGCGGTTCTTTACCGCTGTAAATAGGTTCAAATTTTAAAAAAAGTAATTTTCTCTTTTTGCATCCCCTAGGTCTCGAACCCTTGACCTCTAATCCACGCATGCCAACCACTCCACCACAACCACTCTACATGAAATATATTCCCTAAATAAATATTTAAACATTACTTTTACTTTATTTTAGATGGTCATGTTCAACCTCTGGCCGGGCGTGGTCACCACTCGCCGGAGTTCCGCTAGAGCTTTGCCGGCAAAGACTGCCGTCATTAACGGCGGTAATGAGAGGGCTTTAGCGGCGGTTTCGTTACCGCCGTTAAAAGAGGGCTTTAGTGGCAGTTTTATTAACGGCGATTTCATTATCGTTGTTAAAGATACTTTAGCGGTGATTTTTTTAACGGCGGTAACGAAATCGCCGTTAAAGATACATTAACGGCGGTTTCGTTATCGCCGTTAATAGTATCTTTAACGGTGGTAACGAAAACTGCCGTTAAAAAAACCGCCGTTAATGCCCTATATTTTGACATAGTGAGTAGAGAATAACAATGTAAGTTCAGTGGATGTTCATCGCTTGGATGGCATACGCAGCCTAGAGGAGGTTGGCCTTATAATGCTAAGTTTCTTCAAAAACTTGAATTTTTTTTTTGGATGAAAATGGTTTTTTTTTTTTTTTTTTTTTTTTTTCACCAGTATTAAACTCCCAAACATACAACAAAAAAATGACAATACATGGCCAAACATGGGTTATTAGTTCAACGAGTAACCAAACATTATTCATATGTTTGGAAGTTCAATTCCGAACATAATATTTGATGCATAATTTTGGGGTTTTGGTTTTCAAGTAGTGTTGTATTTCAAGATTGGGCCATCGCATTCACAAGGAATGATTGAAAGATTCATATCAGGAAAGAATGACCAAAGAGGGTAAAGAGATTGAAACAAAAATTCAATGAAGTGCAAATAATTTTTGTCTAATAATTTTTGTAAAAAAATAATTAAAAAAAAACTAAATAAATACATAAGAATAAAAAAAATGTATTGAATTTTTAGTATTTTTTTTTATAAATATTATATTTTTAAGTGTATTTATATTAGGTATATCTTAAAATTAAAAAAATTATTTTTAATATTAAAAAATTCAATAAAAATAAAAAATATATAAAAAAAATGAATACTGAATTATGAAACAAAACAAACTGATTAGGATTGCATTTGTAATTCGGTGGTGCTACATATATCAATTAGTGTACTAACTAGCGTACCAACACTAGTCATAACATTATTATTGACTCAACTCATTAATCACATTACAAATGTAAAAAACTTCTTAAATTATGTCACACCATCAATTGATATACTAATTAGTCCACTAATGGATGCATATAAGATTATTTTTTGTAATTTACCTAGTAAATTTTTTGATAATATATTTGGTACGATGATTGCACAAACCTGCATGAAGAGGACACTTTGGGGTTGAAGACCAGAGTTATGGAAGTAAAAGTACTTTTTCCCTCTCCTGAACGGCGCACAATAGCGCGGGTGATCGAAGAGCTTCGTAATCTTCTCTCGAAGCTTTTCCCTCGCATCACACTTCTCCAGCACTGATTCTGTCAATTTCACCTGCTTTTCTACAAAATCTTTTACCTCCTCTGCGTCGGGATTCTCAAGCCTACCCAAAGACAATCAATCCAAAATTTAAGAGAAATATTAAAAATTTAACTAAATTTTTTATCAAATATCTTATATTATGCGATTCACATGAGACTTACATAATATGATTTCATACCTATATATGAGATATTTGTTAAAAAATTTAATTAAACTTTTAAATTTTTTAGCATTACTCAAAATTTAAATACACTCTTATTTTTAGTCTGTTTAAACGGAAAACATTTTTAACAAAATACTCTTTGATAAAATGAAAATAAAAATTTTAAAAATTTTATCAAAAGTTCTATCAAAAGTTTCACATGACTGTGAGATTTATATGAGACTTACATTATATAGACTCCACATAAAATCCACATGTCACACGTATAAGACATTATTTAATAAAATTTTTAGAACTGCTAGCATTACTCAAATCAAAATTCAATCGTGATGAGTTTTCCAACGTGTTTCATATTTGATATTTTCTCTCTAAACAAATGGGTGTCGTGCAAACTGAAAATCTCAATCATATACAATAATAAAATAATCAATTAAAAAATAAACACGAAAACAAAATAAATAAATAAATTACAGTATATACCTAGTTCGGCCAAATAATTATAATCACGGAAACTCTAATATATATACATATATATAAATTTTGGTAAATTAGTAATAAGTTGTAATAGTTAAATTTAATTATCATCAAGTTCTATTGAAAATAAATTATAATAAAATCGTTGTCAAAAATAATTTTTTGTGACAATTTTTTATATATGTTACTAAAATTTAACAATTGGTGATTTTTTTTTTTTGCCACGAAATATATAGTTAGTAATGTTTTTCTGTGATGAAATTTTCAAACTATCACTAAAAGTAAAAAATTAGTGACTTTTTTTTTTGACGATTTTTTAAAACTGTTGTTTAAACTTTTAATTAGTAACATTTTTTATGACAAGATTTTTAAATTGTTGTTGAAAATTAATAATTAGTGATTTTTTTTTTTTAGTGTTGATGGAAAACTAATTAATTATCATAGTACCTATTGGATAATAAGTGTTTTTTTTTTTTTTTTAACACTCTAAAAACTCATTCGAAAATAACAATAAAACATTGCTATTCAGACCTAAAAATTAGATTTATTTTCTTAACTTAATAATGTATATAGAAAATAAGTCTAAAAAATAGTTTTATTTCATTTATAACGACATATACAATCAAATATTGAAGCCGAACCCACAAAGGGTCAAGTTGAATCTCGGTTGGACCCTTTACGTGGACAGCAAGCCTTGGCCCTCCACGTAAAACGCTCTTGACAATAATTGGAACGTATGGTTACAAAACTAGGGAGGAGAAAACAATTGAAAATCTGCAAATTGGTCCAATCAAGTCCAAATTCTACCATTTGGTTTGATTCACACAATACACAATTTAATCTTGATGATTAAAATAAGTAAATTATACTTAATGGTTTGATCTGTAATTTTATAATTATAGAACCATATGAAAGTGAACCAAACCAGTTAAGTATATATATAATTTATTATCCACTGTAAACACTTAAGTACCGTATTAATATCTTATTTATATATATAATGAATTGTTAATCCTCTACTCTTCCAAACTTGTTCTTGTGTAATAATAAAACTAATTCTAAAAAATTATCTAGACAATTATTATTTATAAAATAATGACATATTGCTTGTGAGCAATATTTTGTGATTATTTTATAAATGATAAGGTATTTAAAAATCATAATTCTAAACCAAATCGAACCGTGTTGTATTGGTTTGGTTTAGATTCAAGATATTTTATTTGCTTATAAATTTTTTGAAACGGTTGGTGTAGGTAGTGATTTGATCTTGGTTTGGCTCTAAACCCAACCGTGCTCGAGAAAAGTTAGAAATCATGAATTTTTTTTCATGAAAATGATCATGAAAGATTTATGATCCTTGGATTACCTGATTAGTGTGTGGTGTTTTATTCTAAGTATAATCCAAGAATCACAAAACTTTCATGATTATTTTCATGAAAGGTTTTTCATACCTAACAAATATAATAAGGCTCGATTTGATTTCGATATTTCAATACCATCGATAGGGATCGGAGATGAGAACGCCATGATAATCGTCGACAACGGACTCGTCTCTGCGAGCGAAAGGGTACTGCAAAGGCTCGTCTTCCAGGGCACAGAGAGAACCCATTTTTGAATACAGAGAGACGTTGGAGATAAGTGTTGAGTTTCCAAGGAGAGAGATAGTTTTGTGGTTCGTTGCTTATTAGCTTTTCATAAGAGTAGTTGTACAGAGAAGATAATGGCGTGGGCCTAACCCAAGGGGTTCGCCTTGTGGGAAGGCTTTGGTTTTAGGATATGCTCTCTCTAAGGTTGCGAGATTGAAATTTCTTTGGTTATGTTTGTTTGAAAGTATTCAAATATGGGATAAGATTAATAATTTATCTAGACTAATAGTCTGTTGTTTAATTCAAATTTTTTTATACCGAACTATGAATCTCAAATCTATGGGATTATTCTATCGCATGGGGGTGGAACGCAATACTCATCTCATGTGGATTAGGTAGTGAAATTATATTTTTAACCATCTATTATTTAATATCTTTTTAAAAATAAAATTTATTTATTAAATTATTTATACTTTATTAAATTATTTATACTTAATAAATTTATTTATTAAATTATTTAATAAATTATACTTAATAAATTTTATTTATTAAATTATTTATACTTTATTCAATTATTTATTTTAATAATCCTATGGTATTAATTTTTCTTAGTAAAGTAAAATAAAATTTTAAAATCTCAACTACAAATTAAAATAAATTTATGAAATTTTTATTAATATTCTAGTTATTTAATTTTTTAAAAGTTCTAGAAAAAAATTAAATAAAATTTATAATTTAGATTTACTATTTCCATTATTTAGTAAATAATTCAAAAGGGCAAAATAGTCTTTTGATCATTTATCATTTTCTATAATATCCAAAACAAACATAGGATTCAATAGAATAGTTTAATTCAAACATCTAATTTTATGACTAAACAAACATATGATACAAATTTAATCTAACCAAATAGTCTGTGGACAATGTATCTCAAGACTAATAATCTAGTGGATTATAATCCACTTTTATTCAGTCCGTCTAAACAAATATGTCTTAAAATTTTTTCAGAGTTATCAAATTGAAAATTTTTTTTTGAATTAATTGTGGTGCACGTATAGAAAATTTTCTCTCGAGGGCCTATAAACTATGAAAATTAGTCGAATTTTAATTTGAGCATCTTGATGCTAATAAAATAAAGGGAGTGCTTGGGATCCAAATTTGAAAGAGATGGGAAATTAAAGGGAAAAAGTGGACTACTGTGCGCTGATTATGTTGTCATTGTTTTGGAAACTTTCTTTGTTATCCCCCACCCCATGGGAAATAAAGAGGAAAAAGTGGACTAATGTGTGCTAATTGTGTTGTCATTGTTTTGGAAACTTTCTTTGTTATTCCCCACGCCACATGTTCTCTTATGTGGTTGGATATCACTACTATTTCTTTCAATTTGTATATTATTCCTCCTTCTCATCCCTATATTGTCTCTTTCACTCAAAATAGGAGGTGGTTTGAAAAAGATTAGAATATTAAAAAATTTAAAAAGTCAATAAAAATTAAAAATATCAAAAAATTAGTAAAAAAAATTGAAGATTCATTTTTATTCTTTTTATTTTTTTATATATTGTTTTGTAAAAAATCACAGCCATTTCAAAACACTCCTAAATAGGGTGTTGCTAATGAGAAAATACTTTTAGTTAAAAACACTTTAATTTAGAGAAAATAAAATAAGTTTAACTAATTTCACATAATTACATTGAATTTTTTTAAAATTTTAATTCACACAATACTGACCCCCCTTTTTAATTAAAAATTTGTTAGTAATTTGGATTTAAAAAATGATGTTATTTTTTTTTTAATATTGAAATGTATATTATTTGTTGTTTATCTTTGTGCCTTTCCACTAGTTATATAGGTTCTAGTCTCTTTTGACTTACTAAAAAAGAGGTCAGTGTAATTATTTCAAAATTGTAAGTATTTATTATATTTTCTCTAAATCTCAGGAAAGGTCAGTGTAATTTATCCAGTATTTATAATTTCAATACATTTTTAAATTATTACACAATGTTTTTATACATTTTTTTTTGCATATTTTAATATATTTGTACACATTTTTCAACACTAATAATAGTCATAAGGTATGTTTTTAACATTTTTAAATAAATAAATGCAATGGCTTGATTTGGTTCAATTCGGTAAGTGGAATTCACTACGAACTTCAATATGGCATTTATTTTTTTATTTTTTTTGTAAATTATTTATTTAAAAAATTAGATAAATTTGATAATTAATGTTTAAAAAATGAACAAATTATTTATAAAATATGCTTGTTGTCATTTATTTTTTTAAAAATAAATATAATAATTTTTTTTAATAAATAATATAAACGAAGATCTAAAAGAGGAATTGTGATAAGAGAATCTAAGGCTCTGTTTAGTAGAGTCTTGGAATCGTAGTTTTATCCCTTGCTTTGAGTGTCATGTTTGCATTGAGCTCTGAAATCGTAGTTCCACATCCACTTTTCAAAACATGTCTACTTGGTCATCCCCTCGGACGTTCTCCTAGACGTCCGGCCGGTTGACCGGAACAGTGTTTGGTTTTTTTATTTTTTTTATGTTTCAAATAAAAATAATTTTTAGAATCTTTTTTAAAATTTTTTATGAGCTTTGAATAGTTTTTTGAGTTGTGTGTTTGGATATGAGTTGTAAGTTTTTTAATCAAATATCATATGTCACATTATTCGTTTCAAACTCAATTGAAAACTCTTTTCAAAACTTATAACTAAACAAATTTTCTACATTCAAATCATAATTTTAAAACTCACAAACTTAAAATACAACTCTATTATCAAATCATAATTCTAAAACTCTACCAAATACTACCTAACTTTCTTTTCACATATTTGTTTGGGTTTTGTTGATGCCACATTTAAATCATCCAATTTAAATGTGACATGTGGCTGGCAAATGGTCTTTTGTGATATTTAATGAGATAGTGAAGAGTCCCAATTTCGTAGGTTCCTATGCGAGCTGCGAATGTAGGTCTTTAATAGACAAATATTATGAACAACATATGTGAGAGGCACGTGAAGAGGGAGTTAACAAGGAGCAGTTGCTAGCAATTATACATGCACGAAAAGAAGATTATGATCCTAAGAAGTAGCGAGAAAGAAGGAGATCATGGCGGAAGATAGCAACTTAATTGCTTCGAAGGCGCAAAGAGAAGACTATAAATAGATAGAAACAAAGACTAAAGAGACCCCTAACCAAATCCATACTCTACATCTTTGTCAATTTCATTTATCTTAAATTTTTGCACTGTACTACACTTACATTTCATAGGAGTAGATTAGTCTTTTAATTCCAGAACCTGGTCGGCTTAAAAGCTTCGAAGTTGCCTTTACTAAAGGTAACATTTTGTAATTGTTTATTCAATTAACCAATTATAATTTCTGACCAATCTCTCCTTCTCATTCTGTTATGAATTTGAGTTAAAATTTTTGTTCCTGTTTTCAACACAACACAGTAAAGTTCTCTTCATTAAGGCTAAGAGAACCTTAACACAATCACTTGATAAAAATTGACATTTATATTTGTAAGGATTTTTCAGATCCTTACTGGCACACTAGAATTATATTTCTAACTTTCGAAGTGTCAAAAATAGCTAACATATATTTTTTAGCATTGTTGTTTGGATCAATTTTGTGTTAAAAAGATGGTTCAAGCATGGCGCTAAGGCAAAGAACATTTAAATGACGAAGATGTTGAAATACAAGAAGCAGATTTTTGGCTTTGAACAGAAGCCATAACTGACCCTCCTTGTACTTCGGGTCTACTTTTAGATGGCCATCAATTGGTCGAATCCTTATTTGAGGATGGATACACCTACACAACATATTGGCCATTCGCATGGCCAAACTTATGAACATGTACCCTTTCAAGGCCCAAAACTTGGTTAGAGTAGTCAGAGTAGCATGTCAAATGAACAATAGAGTGGAATGATGTCCATAATGAGCCAAATAATGACTACAAACCTAAAAAATTGGTTTGATTCATTTCGTATTTCACTTGTTCAAAGAATTGATAATAGATTGGAAAAAATAAGTCAAAGTATAGGTCCTACTTTAAGTAATAGGAGCCCTATTCAAATGTCAACCTAACCTAGGGCAGTTCCTAGTAGCAGTCATAATAGTGGCAAAAATAGAGCAAGAAATGCACAAATATTCTATGAACCGGTTAGACCTGCATCTTCAATTGGTCTAGGGCCTTATCGAAGAGAATCTAATGATCAAGAAACACATCCTGCATATATAGAGCCTCAGGTGTTACCTTTAAATACATTTGGTAATGCTACGCGTGGTCAGGCTTAAACACAAAATACCACATGAATGGTGTCAAATCCAATCTTCAAACCTACACTGGGGAGGTCGACGAAACCTTTTAGGCTACCACTTGTTCCACTTAAGGAAGAAGACATCATAGGATATGAGCAAGCACCAAATCCTACAGTATATCCTTTTAACCGAATGGTTACACCCCTTGTGCAAGCCATACCAAATGAATAGCCTCAAGCCCCTAAACAACAAGTCCATCAAGGATATGTGCCATATCAAGCCCTACAAAGGTGTCCTTAATGTTATTCCTAGGGACCAATTGCTTAACATGGTGCGAGAAGTGTGTGGTCCTATGGCTTGGGGGGGGAAGTGCATGGTCCTATAGCTCGGGGGGTGCAAACTCCAGTTTATAGAAAGCCATACCCTGATTGAATAGATAGGTTACATGAGTTTCCAAAGGGATATAAGGTCCCAAATTTTACCTTGTTTAGGGGGGATGGAAACCAGTCAACTATAGAACACATTGCTAGGTTCATAGGGATTTATCAATATCCTTTAATGAATCTTTTACTTTGAAGCAAAGCTTCCACCAAGAAAAAGTATGCATTAATCTACTCTCTCTAATTAATAGCATGGATTTGGGTATTAACCTACTCTTATTCACAAAGAGATGATGTAAGTTCCCACATATTTTCTTGGGCTTGAATTTCTTTTTGTTTTAATTCATTTAATTGTTGAATTGTTGAAAATATCTGTTGTATATATCTGTCTATGCTATTGTTAAGGATTGAGATCTATCTATCTCTTCCCTAAGTGATTTCTATAAATGGAGGAGATAGAAGGGATAAGAACCCTTTAGAAGATGTTCTTAGCTTCATTCTGAACTACTGACCTAAATTTTGATTGAAAGTAGAGTTCGGCCAGCCCATTTTGTGTTTGGTCAGTGATCT